CCCCTCCCCTGGATCCGCCACTGTATACTTCTCAAGTGTTCCCTCGTGAACGATTGTTTTAAATGACAAAAAAAAAAAAAGGAATTGAAGCAGGGGCAATAAGAAAAGTGCCAATAGGTCGTTTTCGAGTGACTATCAAAATTCTAAATATAAAGTTCTCAATCCACAAGGCTTTCGTTTTCGCGTCCTCTTGACGTCAGTCTTATTGGTTACTGGTAAGATTTTCGTTGAAGTGGCGCGCTTCGGGCCGGGGCAGGGGCCGGGGGTACCTCCATATAAAAAGGACAGGAGTACTCGTTGTACCTTTCAGGGATTAAAAAGCGATGTGATACCTCTTAGGGTGTTTAGCCTCAAAAGGTCCACAGCAGGAGCTTTTGCAGTACCTTTTAGGGTATTGAGCCGAAAAAAATATGACAGGAGATAGTGTGTTGCTTTATGATTGGTACCTCTTAGGGGTGGAAAAAAATCAAGCCACGCCCACAAAGCAGGCGCTTGGTACCTCTTAGCAGTGTTTGTCAAAATTTCCGCCGAGTACCCCCGTCCTTTTTATATGGGAGTCCCCCCGGGGCTTCGGTTTGGAGATCAAACGTTGTCACCAATCAAAGTAATCTGTAATGTTACAGAAATCAAATTTACTTTGCCCTTTAACATTTGTAATTCAGTGTTAAAAATGATATTTGAAATATTCCTAAGTGAACAAAATCAAACGATCTGTTTTTTGTTTTTTGTTTTTTCTCCTTGCAGTCCTTTTGTGACCACCATATTTGTGTACCAGTCTGTGTTGCAGGGGTAAACGGGGAAGGGGTAGGGAAGGAGAGGGGAGGCGACAAACATATACCTTCCCGCCTTTTCTTCCCGCTTTCCCAAATCAGGTGCACCAATATAGCGAACCTATATCGTGAAGTCTGTAATTTTCTGAATATTGTTTTTCAGGAGCTCTGGATCATGGGCTCCAGCGTTTTCCCAGTAACTTGGTTATTGTGAACATCAAAAGGCTGGAATTTGGCCAGTATGTTTCTTCCTAACTACTCAAAAACCCCTGCGTTCGTACAAGTTTTTGATGTAAGCAAACCGATTGTGTTATAGTTAGTTTGGGTTTTTCCTAGTTTTTCATTTAGATTTAAAATATTTTAACACTTTATTTTTAAATGAACCACAGACAGTACCTACTCGAAAGAAGTCCTTGTCGTTTTAATATTGAATTCTGGGATTTCTTGGTTGGTTTCGTTTTCATTTTGTTTTTGACTTTTTCATTCGCTAAAGAGTAATTAATTTTATGGATGGTTAGAATTATAGATCTGCTGAAACCAGTAGTACAAATATTTCTCATTTTGACGTACTCTTGCACTCCGGGCGTTTATTTAAATATGTTAACACACGTGAAGGGGCGCTAAATTTGGTAAATGCGGC